AATCTAATCTCCTTTGCTTAGCCTTTTTCCTAACCCTTGACAACAACTTGTAACCAACCCCCCTAAACAATGAAAATTATCCCAGACCCAAAACTAATTAAAAAGACCAAAAAACCACCCGCCCCACACCACCTCTTTGGGAATGTGGGCGTCGTATTCTTAAAATTGCTTCCTGCTGGGTATGGGCGAAGTTATCTTTATCCTGAAAGAAAAATTTTAGGTTAATTGTCAAATTCTAGGAAAGGTAACTATATCCTTCATTATCCATTCTGTGTATAATGCCGAAGTTCAGGGTTTATCTCAAGTCCTTATTCAAGTAGTCTTTGAGACTGGATCATCTCAGCTAGTCATCTCAAAATTGCTCTGAGCACCTTGTAGTTCAAAGCTGATCTGTAGATGATGTTTGTCAGCTTAGTGATGTTATTATTGTCCATGTGGAATTGTTGTTGTTGTGGGGCCCCATCTTCTTCCTGGAGACTTCAGTTGATGTTAGGCCTGGCTGTGATTTCCTGCAGAAAACTGATAAGAGACTCGAACACAAAGACATATATATGCAGCTAATTGAAGCCATTTTTTTTCTAGAATTAATTAGTACTCTATATGACCATTCATATCGTAACAAAGTTTAAAATGTATATATATCTATATATCTATATATATTAATCTTGTAAATATTGATATAAAATTTATACTTTAAGAAAAGTTTAAAAAATCAGAATAGAATCAGTTGAGATTAGTAATAGAATAGTCCCTTAATTAATTTGGCTTTTCTCCTGTCCCATAGCAGAAGATGGCTCTTTTATTCTGGCATGATACAGGGGGTTTGCATTTTCCTTTTAACAACATGCTTGAGTTTAAAGAAGGAGAGAGCCATTCTCCAGCTCCATAGTCAGCTTTAAATTTTAATTGAACTGGGAGTATTAGAAGACCAATAGTGTTAAATCTTTAGAGAAAAGCAGAAACAAACATTTAGGAAGACATAAAATTTTTTAGATAATATATACCCATACGCCGTTTCACTCTGTTTCCTGGGATAGATGATTTGTCCCTTTTCTTCAGTTGTCTCATTTGTCCAGTGTTCTTCAGATTCCTTAACCTTCATTCTCCTAAAAGACAAAAACAAAAACCTTTCCCCAAGACTAATTTTGGGGATGTTCCTTTTTGGCAAGTTATTATCTGATTAAATGAAAAGGCATGTGTTACTGGTATAAGTTAGTTTAAATTGGATGTTCATGCTGGTTGATGAACTGTCACCTCCTCTAATTAGGAGGTTTCTCTTGTTCAAATCGAACCTTTATCAATTTTGATGGTACCCACAGCTTATCTTCTCCTGTAGAAACAAAAGCAAAACCCGTCCCCAACGTAACACATGCCCTGGTTTCCATTCTGAGGTCAGCATATCCTTAAAGTATATAGGCTGATTTAATTCTGTAGTTTTTTCTATTATCCAATGTCTCTCTGCAGCTGTTGTTCCTTTCTCACTGGCATTAAGAAAATTCAAAGTTAATAGAACATTATGAAGTCTGTTTCTGGGGGTTTTAGCATATCCTTTAGAGTTCTGTTTGATCTTTTTATAACTGCTTGACCTGTAGGATTATGTGGTATGCCTGTAATATGCTTTATATTGTAATAAGCAAAAAACTGTTTCATTTTAACAGAGACATATGATGGAGCATTGTCAGTTTTGATTTGTGCAGGTATACCCATGATGGCCATAACTTCTAGCAAATGAGTGATTACAGAATCAGCTTTTTCAGAACTCAAAGCAGTTGCCCATTGAAATCCTGAATAAGTATCTATTGTGTGGTGTACATATTTCAATTTTCCAAATTCTGCAAAGTGAAACACATCCATCTACCATATTTCATTCCTTTGAGTACCCTTTGGGTTACATCCTCCTGGTAATGGTGTTTGATTGTAGAAGGAACAAGTAGGACATTTCTTTACTATTTCTTTGGCTTATTGCCAGGTTATGGAAAAATCCTTTTTTAAACCTTTACTATTGACATGATGTTTTTTATGAAATTCTGAGGCCTCCAGCACATTTCCTATCAATAATTTATCAATCTCATCATTGCCTTGTGCTAGAGGGCCTGGCAGACCAGTATGGGATCAAATGTGAGTTATATATAAAGGATGACTCCTTTTCCTGATTGTATCTTGTAATTGAATAAATAGTGAAGTTAATTCTGAAGCATCAGGGATAAATTCTGCAGTCTCAATATGTAATACTGCTCTTTCAGCATACTGAGAGTCAGTTACTATATTGAGAGGTTCTGAAAAATCCATTAATACCAACAGAATAGCATAGAGTTCTGATTTTTGAACTGAATTATAAGGACTTTGAACCACTTTACTTAAATTTTCTGATTTGTAACCTGCCTTTCCTTGTTTGTTGGCATCTGTATAAAATGTACAAACTCCAGATGTGGGTTTTTCCCGTACAATTTGAGGCAAGATCCAATCAGCTCTCTTTATAAGATCAATTCTATCGCTTTTGGGATATTTGCTGTTAATTCATAGCGCGGATACCAGTAAATCTGGCTGCATAATGGCTTCATGGGAACTTCTGCCAGCGAATGGGCAAAGGAAAAGAGTTACGTTATCCTCAAGCTTTCTACTGAAGCTCTGAACCCTTCTCCCTCCCGCTACAGGCCCCCCCCCCCCAAGTGCAACAACTTCTGTCTATCTGACTTCCGCTTTCTGGTATTGGGTGGGCCACTCTTGCTGATTCTCACCCTAACTCACCTTAACTCCTCTCACTCATTCTCAAGCTGCTGTGAGAGGCACAGACAGGTCTGGAAGCAGGCTAGGATCCATGCAAATAAGTTTACAGTAAGCAGGATGGCTCTTAAGCCAGAGATCAGTTTATAGCCTGCCTCCTGGCAGGTCTACCTCCCTGATATAGGCATCTGGAGAGCAAGGATCCTGACCCCACAGGCGAAAGCTTCATCTGTGGCATTCAAGGTGTACCGGAGAGAGTTAAAAAAGCCTGAGAACAAAATTACCAAGTGCTGGCACACCCTGCCTCCCGAAAGCCATTGGATCCCTGTTCTAAGTGTGGAAAAAAAGGCCACACGGGCTAGTAAGTCCCTGACCAGTCCATCAGTTGAGTCTTGTTCAAAGTGCCGCCTAGAAAGACAACTGGTCAGCTGACTGCCCCCAGGCACCAAGAAGCAGGGGGACAAAGACCTCCAGCAGACCCAGGCTTGGCCACAGGTTCGCAGGGAACCCAGAACGCAGCATGGAATCAATTCATTTCTTTCCTTCTGGACACCAGAGCCATTGACCTGGTCCTGGGAGTTTTGGGGTCTCACCTCTCCTCATTTCCCTATTGTTGGGGTAGGGAGGACAGCCTTACTCACCCACCTCACCAGATTTAGTTGTATTTTCAGGTTTACTTCATGGGAAAGGATATTCCAGCTAAGATAGGAGCTTTCATTTCATTGCTCCCTCCATGTGCCTCACTTCAGACCTGTCAGGACTGCTTCTCTTCCTCATACACATAGACAGGGCCCTGATCTCTGCCTTGTCCCTAATTCCAAAAATAAATAAGTTCTCATGCACCACAAACTTTTCTCTTCCCAGTTCCTCTCCTAACTCACTGGTCAGCTAATGGTACAGGACCACCACAGAACTGGAGTCCAGAGATCATCAAGTAAGAAACTGTAACAGCTAAAAGGTATTTACACCCCCAGACCCCAAAGTGTCTGGGTTCTATCACCTGTGTTTCCTGGATGCTAAACTAGTAAGGAAAACAGGTGCCTTAAATAATCTGTCTCTGATAAAGCTTAAAAACACGTTCTGATCTGTCTCTCTCATTAACACTAACCAATACAAGCAGAGTACTAAATGCTACCATGGTCAGTAATTTTCTTATGGCTGCTTCTTAAAATGTTCAAAATTTCTTAAATTTCTCCCAAGCTCCAGAAACCAGCTTAAATCCATCTGGACAGGTCAGATCTACTTCAGGCTTTTCCTGTCTCACCAGCATCCTGTCAGACACAAAAGCAACCGGGGTGCCAAGCCAAGAGGGATGGACAGCTCCAGAGCTGCAGGACAGCCTTACCCACCATCCCAGGATGCCTGTCTACCTCTAAGACCCCCTTCCCTATTCCCCCTAAGAGCCAAGTGGTACCCAAGTCAGCTGGAAACAGTTTTTCCTGGAGAAATGACGCCCCTATTCCCATTCACTCGCTTTTTTATAATAAGCAAAAAGTCTGGAATGTTAGGATCCTGCTGCACTCCAGCTGCACTCTGGCACATGCGCGGAGTGTCTGGCGTCTTACATCATCAGGGGGCACGGGCAACTATGTACCTGCCACATCCGCCACGCGGTCACACAATCCCCGCCTTAAAAAGCCAGGTTCGGACCCCCACCTCTCTCTCTGTGCTCTCTGCTCTGTGTTCTCTCTCTGTTCCCTGCTCTGATCTGCTCCCTCCCCCGCCAGGCCTGGCTCCTCCCTCCTATCCCCTCTTCTAATAAAGCTCTTTATGGCCATGGCCCGTGACCTTTCTGCAGGTAACCAGCGCCATTTACCCATCATTAAGGGCCAACTCCATTTTTCTTTCTTTAAATACATTTCTAAATATATAATTTATTTTTATTTTATGTTCATTGGTGTTTTGCCTGCATGTATGTCTGTGTGAGAGTGTCAGAAGCCCTGGAACTGGAGTTGCAGACAGGTGTGAGCTGCCAAGTTGGTGCTGGGAATTGAATCACGGTCCTCTGGAAGAGCATCTGAACTGCTGAGCTATCTCTCCAGCCCCTCTTTTTTTTTGTATAGACAAGATTTCACTGTGTAGCCCTGGCTGACCTGGAACTCACTATGCAGACATGGCTGGTTTTAAACTCAAATATACCCACCCAGATGTCTGCCTCTACCTTCTGAGTGCTAGGATTAACCTACAGATAATGAAGGTTACCATCTAAACATGAATTTTGGGAGTATACAATTCAATCCATGACACCCAATATATTTATGTACAAACCACTTTATTGAAATAATAATTGTATAAATTATAATTCCTATACAAGGATAAAACCCACATCTCTGACTTACACATCCAACTTCCCACAAACAAAAACAAGTAACTCAACACAGTAGAGAGTAACATCAATTAGCACAGCCAAAACTGAAACATGCCACTACAACTGTAATAGACTGGGGAGGGGGTTCTCCAACCCCTCAGATGTCCTTTGTAAACATCTGTAGTGTTTTTTAGTGAGTAGTGACCTTCTGAAATATGCTACTATAGGTTGATGTTTCAAGAACATCTGTTTTCACTATATGAAACTGAGGATGGTTTAAATATATCATCCACCCACCCCCCAGTGTAGTTAAGTATTTCTGTGATTTTAGGAGTTACTGCTTTTTTGATATCCAAAGTGTGAAATTAGACTTTAAGGCTGTACTTTAATTCTTGGTGTGTTGCCTTAAAATATATTCTCATTAACATTTAATGGAAAATAAAGTTGTATGTTGATATTTCAGTGCTGTGGAATAATCTGTACATTGTGAAGATTTGTCACTTAGATTGGTTTAATGAAGAAGCTGACTGGCCAACAGCTGAACAGGAGAAGGTTAGGTAGGAGAGCCAAACTGAAAATGCTGAGAGAAAGAAGGGCGGAGCTGGGGAGTCAAGAGCAGATGCAGGGAGTAGCAAGATGCCCTACTGAGAAAAGGTACCGAGCCACATGACAAAGCAAGATAAGAAATATGGGCTAATTTAAATGTAAGAGTTAGCTAGTAACAAGCCTGAGCTACTGGCTGAGCATTTAAAATTAATACTAAGCCTTTGTGTCGTTGCTTGGGAGCAGCTTGTGGGACAGAAACTTCTACCAACACTACAGTGTGGCTGAAAACTCTTTTTAAAAGGTTATAGTAGGGTCTGGACAATGTCTCAGTGGTTAAGAGCACTGACTGCTCTTCCAGAGGACCCAGGTTTAATTCCTATCATTCACATGGCAGGTTACAACTGTCTGTAACTCCAGTTCTAGGGGACCCAAAACCTTCATACAGACATACATTCAGGCAAAACACCAAATGCACATAAAACATAAACAAAAGTTATAATTGAGGCCCTGTGAGATGCAAAGCCTGGGGAGAGCCACATGGTAGAAGAAAACCTTCAAGTTGTCCTCTGCCTCCAAATAAGCACTGTGCTTCTAACCCCTCAACAGATCAAGAAATGAAAAACAAAACATTATACTGTGTAGCTGACTTGTCTTTCTCCTGAGTGAGTATGCCCCAGGTTAGGAAGGGGAAGTAAGTTTTACAAGTTCATAGAAAATTAAAATCCATGAGTTTGTTCTGTAGTTATCTTGGGCTTGCTTTTTGTGGAGGTTTGAATGAAAATGGCTCCCAAAGCCAGAGTGAGAGACCAGGCTTCTGAAGGGGACCATGGCCAACAGTGAGCGCACCTTCATTGCTATCAAGCCTGATGGGGTCCAGCGGGGGCTCGTGGGAGAGATCATCAAGCGTTTTGAACAGAAGGGATTCTGCCTTGTTGGTCTGAAATTTATGCAGGCTTCAGAGGACCTTCTCAAGGAGCACTACATCGACCTGAAGGACCGTCCCTTCTTTGCTGGCCTCGTGAAATACATGCACTCAGGACCAGTGGTTGCTATGGTCTGGGAGGGGCTGAATGTGGTGAAGACAGGCCGGGTGATGCTCGGAGAGACCAACCCCGCAGACTCTAAACCTGGGACCATTCGAGGAGACTTTTGCATCCAAGTTGGCAGGAACATCATTCATGGCAGCGATTCTGTGGAGAGTGCAGAGGAGATCAGCTTGTGGTTTCAGCCTGAGGAGTTGGTGGATTACAAGAGCTGTGCACAAAACTGTATCTATGAGTGACAGGAGGCACCTGCTCTTCCTCTCTACCTACCCCTGTTCTCATAGGCAAGGGACCAGCAACTCTAGACATTTCTGGAACTTCCTTTGTCCTGGAAGGAGCCTCTGGGAGCTGTGACTCCCTGTACAGTGTTAAGTGCGTGCCACTGGTGGATTAAAGTGTTTTATCTCCACACACACACACACAAAAAAGAAAAGAAAATGGCCCCCAAAGGTTCATAGGGAGTGACACTACTTAAAAGGATTAGGACATGTGGCCTTGTTGGAAGATTCTTTTATTATTTATTTAATTCAATTACTTAGTTTTTGGTGTGTATGTGCACAGTGCACCCATATGCCACAGGCACACACAGAAATCACAGGACAACCTTGAGTGTTGGCCCTTACTTTCCACCTTGACATAGGGTCACTTGTTCACTGCTGTGAATCAGACTCTGCCTGGCCCAAATGAGCAAGGTATTTCCGTTTCTGCCTCTTGTCTTGATGTAGGAGTGCTGGATTAGAGATTCATTCTACTGCACCCAGGTTTACTGGGTTCTGGGATCCGATCTCATGTCCTCACTCTCCGATGATGAGCACTCTACTCACTGAGCCGTGACCCTGCATTGGTCTTACTTTTTTTCTTTTTGAGACAGGGTTTCTCTATGTAGTCCTGGCTGTCCTGTCCTGGAGATGAGGGTGGCCTTGAACTCACACAGATCCAGCTGACTCTTGAGTGCTGGTATTAAAGTTGAGCATCACACCATCATGCCCAGCTGGTCTTTTAAGCCTCCCTATACCATTTGTGTGTGAATGTGCGTTCACTTTCATGTGTGCTTATGGTGGCCAGAGTATGCTTGAAAAATGAGGACATGACTACTCCTAGGTATGGTCGAGAAGGGCTTTATTGTAGATGAGGGAGAGAACAGCCAGAGGCGTCTGGAAGGGTCCAGACCAAACCAGGCCATGGGAGGAGGGATGGGGAAGAGTGAGAGAGGGACCAGGAGCCGAGAGAGCCTGTAGCCAAAATGGCTGACTTGTATAGGAATCTAAAAATAGAGGAAAGGAAGCCCCGCCCCCGGGCTGGAGAGGTTTAGGGTAGGGGCGGGATGAGAAGTGCTGGGAGGAGCCGCAGGTGCTGAGTGAGACTGGTCCTAAAGAAACCTTTGGGACCTGACAGCTTTTTGCTGCAAGAAAGGAATCATTGAAAGAAAACCGATTTATAGTCAGAACACAGACACAATTTCAGTTGTTTTATATAGTCTTTTGAAAAGGCTGGGTGTGGTGGTATATACCTTTAAAGCCAGCACTGGAAGGCAGAGGCAGGAGGATCTCTGTGAATTTGAGGTTAACCTGGTCTACTAGTGAGATCCTATTTTTTTTTAAGCCTTGGAAACCCCTTTTAAGCTCAGATGAGGCAGAACACCCACCTGCCATAGGTTGAGGTACCCAGTAAGCAGCTTACTAACACAGTGAGGTTCTGACAGTGTGACTGACACTACAGAGCTAATGATGATTCTGGAGCCAGAATTCCCCTGCTCAGAAACAAAGTAAAGGATATGTGGGATGCAAGTTCACAAACTGGGTACAGGGCTGGGTCTTAAAATCTAGATGTTTTCTTCACACTTTGCCACATGTAGTTTTGAGGTCATGATATATTGTGCTTTGCTCACCATATCTTGGCTAAACTAGATCCCTCTTCCCAGAGCACTGACTAGAAAAACATTAAGCTTTCTTTTCCTCACCCCCTTTCTAGAAATAGCCATCAAAACAATATGACGTTGTTTCATATAAAAACCCTGGGTTCAAAATTAATCCTCAAAGAGGCATTTAAGAATGGTTCCTACTTCCTCTGCTGGGCTCTCCTGACTCCGCCCTATACCTGCTTCCTGCTTTGTGGTTGCTACTGGCTCACCAAGGAAGCTTTATACAGTGGCTGTGCCTTCACCTACAGTTCTCACTTTTATTTTCCTCTTATTTTCTCCTTCCCAAGCTCAAGAACATACTCAAACTGCAAGAAAGATTGTGGTTAAGAAACTGGTTCTGCAGGCTGAAGAGATGCCTCAGTGGTTAAGAGCACTGGCTGGGTTCAATTCCCAGCACCCACATGGCAGCTCACAACTGTCTGCAACTCCAGGATCCAACACCCTCACACAGATATACATATAGGCAAAATATCAATGTACATTAAAAACAACAAACAAACAAAAAACCCCACAACTTGTTATGTTGGCCAGGTGGTAGAGGTAAATACCTTTAATCTCAGCACTCAGGAGGCAGAGACAAGACGTGTTTGAGGCTAGCCTGGTGTATAAAGTGAGTTCCAGGACAGTCAGGGATACACAGAGAAACCTGTCTCAAAAATATCAAAAAAAAACCCCCAAAACCAAAAAAAATTGGTTATGCTTGTATTTATTGTAAAATAATATTAGTGGTGAAAATGTGGCCTGCCTGGAGGTGGTGGCTTACACCTTTAATCACAGCACTTGGGAGGCAGAGGCAGGTAGATTTCTGTAATTTCAAGGTCAACCTGGTCTACTAAGTGATTTCAGAGAGCTAGGATTGTTACACAGAGAAACCCTGTCTCGAAAAACGAAAAAAAGAAGCAAAAGAAAAAGAAAAATATGGCCCATAAGTTTACAATCTTGACAGTTTCTCTAAGTTTCAAGGAGTGAAAAGAACTCAAAGGTAGTCCCCTCACTCCCCAGAACTCTCCTGAAAGCCTCCTAGGAAGACTTCCTTGACAGTTCATCACCAGGTCCAGGAGAAAGTGAGGCACAAGCAACCTCAAAGAAATTCAGAAGTTAAAAAGAAGAGTGCAGGTCCTTGGCAGGAAATCAGCACTCTATCTCTGCAAGATGCTGGGCAGCAGGCTACGTACTGGGGCAGTCAGGGTTTGAGAGATGAGCTGGGGAGCTGTTAGCAGTTAGGTGACATTATGGGCATTTTCAGGATTGGCCAGGGAGAATACTGTGAGGTGAAGAAAGGCCTTCAGATAGACTGTTTGAGAAGTGTATAATACTGTAAAAAGGGCTCCTTTTGAGATACTAAAGTGACAAGCAACCGTCCAAAGCAGTAATTCTCCCCCAATGTCACTCACTCTTCATTTACTGAAAACATTACTTTTGGATACTCTACGTTGAAACAAAGGCTAGTGGCTCCTTTCTACACTTGACTCTGACCTCTCAGTATTTATGTTTTAAATAGTCACCCGGGGGGAAGACAGCTGAGTGGGCAAGAGCACTTGCTGCTCTTGCCGAGGACCTGAGTTCAGATCCCAGCTCCACACTGGGTAGCTCACAACCTCATGTAAATCCAGTTTCAGGGGAATCTGTTGTCCTTTTCTGGCCTCCATGGGCACCCACATGCACATACACAGAGAGAAACAAACAAAAATCTTTAAATCAAAACAAAACTCACAGGCCTGGTGATGTGGTTCAGTGGGTAGCAGAAGAGCCCATTGTTTGCTTTTTAAAAAAGCCTATTTGGTAAGTTCCAGGCCAGTGAGAGATCCTGTCAAAAAAGAAAAGATGGACAACATCTAAGGACCAACACTGAGGCTGTTCTCTGGCTTGCATATTATGTACATGTAGACACACACACACACACACACACACACAATCACACAAAGAGGAGCTGATGACAGCAGTAGACATTCTTTCCCAGTCAAGCATTATTAGGTATGATACAGTTGAAAGGAAATGGCTGGTTATACAGAGGCCGTGTTTTACTGCCTATTATCCTTGGACTTAGTTATAATAAGTATGTTTTATAGCACAGTACTGTCCTTAGGTTTCTGTCTACTCAGCTGCTTTCCTATTGTAAAGGGCAAGGAGACCATGAGGTCAAGAACCTGGGAGCCTAATATCTTCCACACTTCCCAGATCCTGGGGCACACTAAGCTGTTGATTATGTCACTATTTTCTCTTAAACACATCATGTATATGCATGGATTTTTTTTTTTTTTTTTTTTTTTTTTGTATAGGGGGTGGAGAGTCAGGTCAGGAGAATGGAATCAGTTGGGAACTTTGAAAATTCTAAATTTAAACTTGACTTTCCAGAATACCGTAGACGTCACTTTGTCCAAAGCAGCAGAACAGATTTGTTTTAGTTACTATTCTATTGCTGTGAAGAGATATCAGGACAAGGCAATGTTTTAAAGGAAAGCATTTAATTGGGGACTTGCTTACAGTTTCAGAGCATTAGTCCACTATTATCAGGACAGGAAACAGACAGGCATGATGCTGGAGCAGCAGTTGAGAGCTTTACATCCTGATCCAGAGGCAGCAGGCAGAGAAACAGAGCCTGGCATGAGCTTTTGAAACCTCAAAGCCCACCCCAATGATACACCTATTCTAACAAAGCCACACCTCCTAATCCTTCCCAAACAATTTCACTAACTGGAACCAAACACTCAAACAAGCCTGTGGGGGACATTCTCATTCAAACTACCACAATATTTTACTTGAATTTGTTATTTTGATTTATAAGGTGCATGAGCCTCCACAACCATATTCTTGCTCAGATTCATTAAGTTTAAAAGCAGGCCTGTTCCACTTTGGAAATCAATATGGCGCTTTCTTAGAAAATTGGGAATCAATCTCCCCCAAGATCCAGCTATACCACTCTTGGGCATATACCCAAGAAATGCTCAACCACACCATAAGAGCACTTGTTCAGCTATGTTCATATCAGCATTGTTTGTAATAGCCAGAACATGGAAACAACCCAGATGCCCTTCAACTGAAGAATGGATAAACAAAATGTGGTACATATACACAATGGAATACTACTCAGCAGAAAAAAACAATGGCATCATGAGGTTTGCAGACAAATGGACGGATCTAGAAAAAATCATCCTGAGTGAGGTAACCCAGACTCAGAAAGACAAACATGGTATGTACTCACTCATAGCAGGATACTAGACATGAAACAAGGATGAATTGTCTGCTACTCACACCACCAGGGAGGCTACCCGGAAAACAGGACCCCAAGAAAGACACAGGGATCGCCCAATGACAGAGAAATGGAATGAGATCTACATGAACAGCCTGGACATGAGTGGGGGTAATGAAAGGCGAGGGTCGAGGGAAAGAGAGCTTGGGGGAGCGGGAGATCCCAGCCGGATCAACAACAGAGAGGGAGAACAAGGAATAGGAGACCATGGTAAATGAAGACCACATGAGAACAGGAAGAAGCAAAGTGCTAGAGAGGCCCACAGAAATCCACAAAGATACCCACACAACAGACTGCCGGCAATGGTCGAGAGACAGCCCGAACTGACCTACTCTGGTGATGGGATGGCCAAACACCCTAGTTGTTGTGCTAGAAACCTCATCCAACTACTGAGGGATCTGGATGCAGAGATCCATGGCTAGGCCCTGGGTGGATATCTGGGAGTCCAATCAACGAGAATGAGGAGGGTTTATATGAGCGAGAATTGTTGAGACCAAGGTTGGATAAAGCACAGGGACAAATAGCCAAATGAATGGAAACACATGAACTATGAACCAATGGCTGAGGGGTCCACACTGGATCAGGCCCTCCGAATGGGTGAGACAGTTGATTGGCTTGATCTGTTTGGGAGGCATCCAGGCAGTGGGACCAGATCTTGTGCTCATTGCATGAGTTGGCTGTTTGAAACCTGGGGCCTATGCAGGATTGTTTGGCTTGGCCTGGGAGGAGGGGACTAGACCTACCTGGACTGAGTCTACCAGGTTGACCTCAGTCTGCGGGGAAGGCTTTGCCCTGGAGGAGATGGGAATGGGGGGGGGGCGTTGGGGGGAAGGTGAGGGGGACGGGAGGGGGGAGAACAAGGGAATCCGTGACCGATATGTAGAACTGAATTGTATTGCAAAATAAATTAAAATAAATTTAAAAAAAAAAAAAAAAAAAAAAAAACACCAAGCAATACATAAGATTTATTAGAAAGAACACCAAGTTACCCATGGAGATTCTAAAAGGTAGAAGGACATGGATGTTCTACAAACTCTAAGAGACTGGTTTTTTCCTCAGACTACTATACTGAGGAAAACTTTCAATCACAGTAGACAGAGAAAAGAAGACATTTCATAATAAAAAAAAAAAAAAAAAAAAAAAAAAAAAAAAAAAAAAAAAAAAGCAGGCCTGTTAGCAGTATATTATGGGGCAAGAAATAATAACTTCACACACAGTGCACTTTAATCTTAAGGTTAGATTTTTCTGAAATACAGTGTAGGAAATGGGTGGTACAAATTTCCTGGCATGACATCAACTGATAAAAAGGCACTCTTCTTTTTAGGGTTGGTAGCTATAAAAGTTATTTTAGGGGTTAGAGAGATGGCCAACGCGTTAAGAGCACTTGTTGCTCTTGCAGAGGACATGGATTTGTTTCCAAGTAAGGCAGTTCACAACTGTCTATAACTCAAATTCTAGGGAATCCTTGGGGCTGGAGAGATGGCTTAGAGGTTAAGAGGACTGGCTCTTCCAGGGGTCCTGAGTTCAGTTCTGAGAAACCACATGGTGGCTCACAACCATCCGTAATGAGATCTGGTGTCCTCTTCTGGCATGTAGGCAGAACACTGTATATATAATAAATAAATAAATACATCTTAAAAGAATTCCAGGAAATTCTATGCTCTTTTCTGGCTTCCATAGGCACCAGGCATATAGGTGGTCACATATATACCTGCAGGCAAACACTGGAATACATACAATAAAAATAGAGAAAATATTTAAAAATTTATGTTACTTTAGACGGGTATTCATGTAGCCCAGGTTGGCCTTGAACTCACTATGTAGTTAGTTGAAGATGACCTTGAACTTCTGGTCCTCCTGCTTCTACTTCTCAAATGCTAGGATCACAGGACTGTATCACAATGTCTTAGGAGAAATTAATTGTAATGGTTTCAGTGTGATTTTGCAAATCTTGAAAATGACAGATATGGGATATAGTAACCATGTAGTCAAATCCACTCATTTAATGAATAAGACAATAGAGATCTTACCAGGCAGAGTGGCCTGGCTAGTGTCAGCAGGCTGGTGAGTAGGTGATTGCCAGTCCTATCTTCTCTCTCACTATGTCCTTCTGTTAATGAAGACATATGCTGTCAGCACATTTCAGCACCTGCTCTCACTGCTAGGAACTACACATTTTGATACTTAATATTTGAGATGCATAAATATATAGTTGTATATTTAGTTAGTAGATCATTAAACAGTTATTCCCTTTCTGGACATTCACCCCCACTGCACAAGCAAATGCTTTCTAAAAGAGAGAAAATGGAAAAATGAATTTTAAAAAGATCATTAGACCAACTGATACTGTTCATAGAACTTAAGTTTGTTATGAATGCCTAAATCAGATAATGTACAGAAGTGAACAGTCTTCATTTTATTTGGCATTCACAGTTTCATCATGGCATTTTCATACATGTAATATCCTTGTTTGCTCATATTCATAACACTATCCTCTCATCTCCTTTGTTGATGGCCCCCTCTCCTTTCTCCAAGTAGTCCCTCTCTGCTTTCATACCATATACATACATATTCATTCCCCATGAGAGAGAACATGAGGTAACTTACTTTCTTTCCCTCATTGCCTTATTTCCATCTCCTCTTCTCTTTTTATGTCAAATATATATATGTGTGTGTGTGTGTATGTAAATGTATCTATCTACCTATCTATAGATTCAAATCTAGATTTCACACATTAGGGAGAATATGCGAAATTTGTCTTTCTGGGTCTAGCTTCAGGAAATACTCTTTATGTTAACAATCTTGTTCTAAAAACTAAAAAATGAGGCTGGGCATAGTGGTTGACACCTTTAATCCCAGCACTGGGGGATGAGGTGCAGGGGACGGATCGGGACAGCTGAGACAGGCAGTTGTCTGTGAGTTTCAGGGGAGCTAGGACTACATAGAGAGACTATGACTCAAAAACACCAAACCAGACAAGCTAAAAAATGTATTTATAAACAACATTAAAAATTCCTAAGTGGGGATGAGCGTAAAAGAAAGGTAACAAAATAACGAAGTATTCCAATTTCCTGAGGTCAGTAGACTATTTTTGAAAGGTAACTAACAGTAAAAACTGTTCTTCTTAGGAACCATAAAATTTCTTTTCCCTGGTGGTCTAATTTGACTACTTGTCATCTTTCCATCCAGCCTCTTGAGATTCTGATCTTATAACAGTATCTAAGAGTTAAAGGCATGCTCTTAGATGGCTTCAACTGTGTTGTAACCCATACCCCTCAAATTCCAAATCTTTTGAGATAAAAGTCAAAGCACATGCTTGGCAAAATCTCATAGTGATAGCTCTGAAATAAAGAAACCTAACTTGATTTTTCAAACATTTATAAACATCGCTAACGGATTTTTGTTGACGAGTTAAAGGTACAATTAACATTAAAACCTTTAGCACTCAAGTTCAATTTAGAGTCTCCAAACAGTGGGTGAATTTTATCTTCACGCTCCAAAGCGATGTAAGTTCCAGTTCTGCAGGAAACTCTCTTTTAAAGCACTAACATTTACGACGTTAGTTAAAATAAGGCATCTTTGCACTATTTTAGCCTTTCCAGTCAATCGAATTCTCGACTAATTTTCTGCGAGATGAACAACGCCGGAACCCGGTTTTCAGAACATGCAAGAAGGGACCCAAGCCACCTCATGGTAGAAAGAGAAAGCGGTACAAGCAAGGCAAAGTCTTTGAGGCGAACACCAGCGCTACCTCGGTCCGGGCAGATTTCGGGGGTCTTCCCGCGGCACCGGAGTTCCGTCGAGCGACTGGCGAGCACTCTCCTTTCTCAGTAACTCCGCCACCAGCCGTGCCGAAAGGACCTCTGACCTCCGAAGAAGGCCCGCTCGGTAATCCCGCCCCGACGGCTCATGTCCGCGCTTCTGATTGGTGAGTTCAAGGATCCCTCAGTTTAGCGCGCCCAATGGGAGCTCGGCCGGGGCCTAGGGACCCCGCCCCGTGCCCCGCGCCGGGGAGCGGACGAGAGTAAATACAACAGGAGCGCAAAATGGCGGAACCGCCGAACCCAGCTTACGGCGCCGTGGCTGTCCTCTCCGAGAAGGAAGCATTCGGCAAGCTCCAGCCCGCCTCGCGGGAGCCGCCGGGCTCTGGGTCCGCCAAGAAGGTTCGGACTGAGGAGAAGAAGGCGCCGCGGAGAGTGAACGGAGAAGGCGGCAGCGGCGGGAACGGCAGGCAGCTGCAGCCGCCCGCCGCCCCGCCGCCTCAGAGCTACGGCAGCCCGGCGGCGTGGAGCTTGGCGGCTCTGCCCGCCGCCGCCTCCCCGGCCTCGGCCCGGAGCTGCTTCTCTCTGTCCGCCAGCCCGAGCGCCTCGTCAGCCCCCGCTTCCTCCGCTCCGCCGGTGGCGCGCAGACTGCTGGTCGCCCCCTCGCTGCTGCACGCTCAGCCTCACCACGTCCTGCTCCCGCCCGCCGCCCCGCCGCCCGCCGCCAAGCCGCGCAGACCCAAGGAGAAGCGCGACAAGGAGAAGCGCAGGCACGGCCTCGGCGGCGCCGCCCGCGATGAGAACGGGGAGGCCAGGCCGCCGCCGCCGCCGCCGCCGCCGCGAGGTGGGTGCCGCGGGGGAGGGGATGGCCGAAACTCGGGGCTTCCTTGTCGGATCTCCCAGTTCCGGCGCTGCGGGACGTGTCGGAGTGGGGCTGGAGGACTCCTCGGGGTGTGTTTGGTAGGGAGGTAGAACAGGTCTTTAAAGATTGCCAAGGGGATCGGACGTGAGCGCAGGGATTCATATTTGCGACGCAGTCTCCGACACCAGAAGATCCTGGCCCTAAAAAGAAAAAAAAAGTGGGTGGTGGGTGTGTTGGCACACGCTGGAAGCTGGCAGGACCAGCACGTTTCGGGCCTATTAGGGAAATGAGGTAGTGTGCAGGGCGCCAAGTGTGCGGTCTTTCACCTTTCGAGCCGCTCCATATTCTTCAAATGTTTTGAGTGGTCCTGTTTTAAACACTACTCTTCAGAAGCATTCAGCCATATTCTTCTTCCCCCTGCAGCAAATGATAAAATCAGATGCTTTGACTTTTTTTTTTTTTTTGGCCAAATCAAGTCTGCAAAGTGTTTCTGCATAAGAAATGGGAAATTTTCTTACATGTCCTTTTTCAGTATTATTTTGTAATACGAGCTAGTATAGTTTTCAGTATTTCTTTAAAATAAGGGGTCCTTAGTTACGTGTGATTATGTAGAGATCTGACTGTCATATAAAGTGGACGGGTTGGAAAGGAGATCTTTATGTGATCACGAGGTTATATAAATATACATTGTCACACGGTGTTGTGAAGTGTTCTGTTTTGTTTTGGAATGCGAGTGAAATGCCAAGCAGTTTAGCCTTGTTGATCTAAAAAATTGTCTGAATAGAAGTGTTCACTATTCACAATGTAAAGGAATGCTGCACACGACTATGTGAATTTCTGTATCTAAGCCAAGCTAATGGACCTGTACTCTTGTTACCGGTGCAACAGCGTAACGCTGCTCCAGATTTTTAGAGTGCTGCCTCAGCAATGTTTTGAGGATGAAATTTACTTTCCTTCTTCCCAGGGGTTTTAGGTGGTTAGTATTTTAAATCTCTATGTTGTAGTGGTTAAATATAAAACTTAAGTTACAAAATGCTTCAAAGTCCATCCATATGCAGTTTGGAATCATTCTTACTTGTGCACGCTTCCCATTTGCTTTTCACGAGTTCTCTGCCGACCTGAACTCCATTGTTGGAGTATTTGAATGGTGAAAAGAAATACTTTAAGAAACAGTGTTGGCTTAAAATGTGGGGTGTGTGTGTGTGTGTGTGTGTGTGTGTGTGTGTGTGTGTGTGTGTGTAGTATTAATATATGACCATTATGGTGAAGTGGCTGTTAAAGATAACGTCTAAAATCCTTCATTGGGGGACTGTTGAGATGGTTCAGGCACTTGCTGTGTAGCATGACCATCTGGGTTCAGTCCTCGGGACTCACAGGATGGAGAGAACCAGCTTCGCACAAGGTGTCCTCTGACCTCTACCCTCTGTGACAAAAGTGTGCCTGCCCCTACAAAGAAGTGTAGTAACCCCCAAACCTAAGCCCCTTCTTTTGTGAGGTACCTATTAAAGTATAAGCAGTGATAGTTTTTACATTAAGATGTGGGAAAGATATTTTCCCATGACCTATGTGGGATAATGATTAGATATTAACTGTTTTCTTTCTTTCTTTCTTTCTTTCTTTCTTTCTTTCTTTCTTTCTTTCTTTCTTTCTTTCTTTCTTCTCTCTCTCTCTCTCTCTCTTTTATGATTTTTTGAGATAGGGTTTCTCTGCGTAGTCTTGGCTGTCATGGAACTCACTCTGTAGACCAGGCTAACCTTGAAATCACAGAGATCCGCCTGCTGGGATTAAAGGTGTGGGCCATCACATGTAGCTAGATCTTAACTATTAACTTTAAATAATTAATTTTTTGAATAGAATTTTATTGAGAAAAATTAAAGCAAAAGATAGCTTTTCAGTGTTTTGGTGGACTGTAGAGTTTGAATTTAACTGAATCTGGGTTCCGCTTTAACAAAAAAGTGATAACAAAGAAACACGATTTTAGATATATTTGTTTCATAGGTGCTGTTGCAAGTGTACAAGTACTTGTTTATAGTGCAGTGTTTATTTTTCTGTGCCCTTTATATAAATCTTAGTGAATGGGTGACGAAGTGATTGTTGCTTGAAGTATACTTTTTAAATGACTCTCTAAGTTGGCAGTACTAGTTCATTAACCCCTTGATTATCCATAGCTCCTTGATTTAACAGAGTTAGTACCAGAAATTAGTTATAAAGACATTTAAGAAAAATAGATCTTGCTGGGCAGTGGTGATGCACACCTTTAATTCCAGGTCTCGGGAGGCAGAGGCAAGCGGATCTCTGAGATAGAGGCCAGGCTGGTCTACAGAGAGTTCTAGGACACCCAAAGCTACACAGAGAAACCCTGTCTCAAAAGAAAAATAGATGTCAGTTCTGTATCTGTATTAAACACTGCTCCTATATTTACATAGGGGTTTTAAAAATCCTTAGAATTGCTTTTTTGTTATTTATCTGTTTTTGTTTGTTGTGTTTTGAGACAGTGTCCCTTTGTAGCTCTGCCTGGCCAACTACCATGTAGAACAAACAGGCTGGCCTCAGCCTCTTGACTGCTGGGATTACAGGTGTGAGCCACTACATCTGGTTAGAGCCCTTTTATGTTGTGTGTGGGCCATCTATCACACCTGGCTAGATGATTTACCTAGCAGAAAACATTCAGATAAAATAAACGTGTATTCAAAACAACCTGAGACAATATTTAGTAACTGTTGAGTCTGAAGCATGGCTATTATTTTTCTTACCCATACAACAAATTAAAGGTGGATTAGTCCTAACCCACCTTTAAAGCTCAGAGGGATAAATGAGCAGATTCGAATAAGTAGTTCCTAGTCTGGGCACCTTGAGTACAGAGCTCAAGTGGTGTGTACCCGCCATCTCCAAGGCTGCTGGTGGGGGCTGTTAGGCAGAACTTTTTAGGGTTGAAATGAAAGAGTGCAGTTCAGACTGGCCTGGAACCAGCTGTGACCTTCCTCCTGAGAGTTTGGTTGTTTTTGAGACAGGGTTTTTGGACCTCACTCTGTAGACCAGGCTGGCCTGGAACTCCCCAGAAATCTGCCTCCCTGGGGGAATTAAAGGAGTGTGCCACCATCTAGTGAGACTCTGTCTGTGAAAAAAAAGTGAAAAGTGAAAATGGTGTACTGAAGGTGTCATGTACTTTCACACATTCCAGTAGTGGAGCATTTCCTTCTGTGTATGTGTAGTTTGGTTATGTGTAGTGTGTGTTGTATGTGTGGTGCCTGCCCATGCAGGGGCCAGAGCAATTATCTGGGTATTTTCTGTTGCTCTCTGCCTTGCTGCCTTGGATTAGGATCTCTCACTGCACTGGAACGCTTGTCTGTGGCTAAGCTGACGACTGGCCAGAGTGCTCTAGAGGTCTACCTGTCTCTGTCCCCCAGTGCTGGGGTGACAGTCACAGTCACCCTGGCCTCTTACATAGGTGCTGGGAATTTGAACTCAAGTCCTCATGGGTGAGCAGCAAGCTGTCTTACCCATTGAGGCATCCTTTTAGCCCCATAGTTAGAGTTGTCATTGTGATTGGCACTGCTGAGAGGTAATAGTTTACTAAGATTGTGTTTTGGGGTAACCTATTGTATTCCCCCCCCACCCTGTGCGCGCGCTTCTAGTAAAGTCTTTCTGTACCCCCCAGCAGCTCTCTAACATGCTTCTTAGTATAGTTTTCCATGTGGCTAAATCTGCCAGATAAATGATAATCCCTTCTGTACCTTCTTCCTGATTTAGTCCTGCTTGCTTCCTCTTGAAGGCAGCTGTATAAAGCTGTCCACCCTGGGACTTGAACTCACGACTTCCTGCAGGTCCTTTCATTGCTGCTGCGTTCCTTTTTTCTGGATCCCTGCCTTTTAGTTTACCCTCCTGTTTTCATTTTTGTCTGCTGGCAGCACTGTAAGGAATATTGAAACTGTACTTTTTGGGTTTTATTTTTACCCCCACACTTGGCTGCTTATCTGTTGAGAGGTTTTTTTCTCAAGCCACTTGCCCTGGGAAGTTTGAAGATGGCATTCTGTTATTGTCTGCCTTCTGATGTTGGTGTTCAGAGAAACTGATCTCTAAAACGTTGTCTGTTCTATTTTGAGGTATGGCAGCCCTTTCATTGATTTTGAAAATTTCAGCTTTGAAGAAAAGTGTAAGCCCTTGTGTTTTTGTTCCTATATTGCTATCTTTTCTTTTCTTTTCTTTTTTTTAAAATGGGCTCAGCATCTCTGTTGTTTTTTCATGGATGCTAATTATAGTTTCTTTGAAATATTCTGTTTCCTGCCTTGCTTTTGGTTCTACTAATCTTTTTTTCCTGTTTGTTTTGGTCCCATTTATTTGGAGGCTGCCCTCAAATCTGTATTATTTTTAATAGTTCTTTCATATTTAAGAGAGAGTTACCAAGATTCATCGAAAGCTCCTGAGCATGTATGGACAGGATTTACTGACTGAGCTTACGTTTTTATATGTTTTGTTTTTTTCTGGGTTAATCACTCTCTGCTTCTTCAGACTAAACTTTATTTTTGTCTCTTTTGGGCCAGATGCTGGACAGAATGGCTTCCTCACCTGGACAAGGTGGCCTAGCGTGCGGAAGTTAATTTCTTCACGGTTGTGTAAGCTGGAAGCCTGAGATTAGTGTTCTGACACGTTCAGTTCTGGAAGGGCCACTTTCTTGTCTGCAGATGCCTGTCTTCTCAACTGTGTGTTTTCACATGGTCTCTCTCAGGTGCTTGCTTTGTGTGGGGCAGGGAGGGAGAGACTGGTTTCTTTTCTTCCTAGAAGGCCACCAGTTTTACTTGGTTTCGAGTCTCCCATTTGTGACCTTATTCTTCCCTCTAGAAAACCAGTCTCTAGATTCAGTCACGTTGACGGTCATGCCTTACAGAGACACATTGTGGTGACAACTAAGTATGTTTTTAGAGGAGATACTGAATTTTAGCATTATTTTGATTTGTTCCTTTTTGTATACCATTGGTCAAGTA